GCGAGGGAAGCTCGGGAGGATGGCCTCGGCCATCAAAGCGGGAAGCAGGAAGGATGTGCTGGAGAGACAGGACCATTTGGCGAGCTGCTGCTAGACCCCGGGAGTGTGCACAGTCCCATGACCTCTCCTCAGAACCCATATCACGCTAGAAAACTCAAGGCTAGAGTCTGTTCTGCATTTCCTCTTCACATCCTCCCCTTCAAGGGATCTGTGAAGCCTTTGGTCCACAGGAAGGTGGACTTTCGATGCCCATGGAAATGGTGCAGAGTTAGCTCTGCGAGGTGCACCTTGGAGGTGGTTTCTCTCCAAAGCTCACGATGATTATGGTAGGGACAGGCGATTTCTTCTCCACACATAGGCGGGTGCCTCAGAACACATGGGCTGGCCTGCAGAACCGGTGGGATTATGCAACTTGCATGTCCGTGGATCTGGATGTCCCAGGTTCTCAAATAGGACCCTATGGAGTCCCTGGTATATCAACATAGTCTGCAGGATAGGGTTAGAAAGGAGGACTCAGACTGTTAGGGTCAGACATGGCCTACCTGCCACCTGCGTGTGGTGGCCATTGAGACCATCCAATAGTGAAGGAAGTCAGATCCGGGAAGGTGAAGTGCTTACCCAGTGTCATACTTAGAGAAGAGCCAGGCCTTGAACTTGAATCTGATAGATTCTCCCCCTCCCCTGCCCCTCCCCACCAAACCCATAGTGTTTCAAGTACAAGACTCAACTGGTGCACACAGAGCAGTGTGCACGGCTGGCGATGTGGTGCGAAGGGGTTCTGCTGCATGGGGAGTGCCTGCACCTTGCATGGATGAGCATAGGCACGCATGGAGATGCACTGCTCATCCATACTGCATTGCCATGGCTGGGTTGATGCAGAGAGATCATTGTGTTCTTACAGCCTGATGAGGAAGTGCCCTTACTGGCAGCTGTCCTTCAGGAATGGTGAAAAACACACACACATACACACACACACACACACACACACACAGAGAGAGTTTACCACCTGTGTGACCCAGAAAGAGTTGCCACCCTCCTGAGTCTGTTTTGGTTTTCCCATCTGAAAATGGGGCACAATCCTGGTGCCAGCCCATTAGAGTGGTTGGGGTGGCTTGAGGTGACATGATCTCCAGACTGTAGCGAACCACCTGATGCGTAGAGAAAGCCCCTCCGTCCATTACCTGTGCTCACGGTCATCACACGCACACCTGCTTTTACAGGTGCATCATCCAAAGCTGGAAAGATGAGCCTCTCTTAAAGTCATATAGTTCAGATTAGAATTAGGCAGCCTGACCCCCAGATGGTATCCCTAGGATCCATCCTGGGGAAAGGCTGCTTTCTGTGGCGGTGACAGACACGCTGGAGAAAAATCAGCTTTCTTTAGGTTTACGGTTACTGTCCCCTGTCACTTGGCTACCAGGTCAGCATACATGGTGAGGCAGAGCTTCGGTGGGGAGCATGAGGTAGAAGAGAGCTGTTGTGAGAGCTGGAAAGCTGGAGGGAGGAGGGAAAGGAAGGGGAGGGGAGGGCAAGCGAGAAGAGGAATGGGGAGGGAAGGGAGGGAAGGAGAGTGGAGGAGAGGGACAGGGACAGCATCGACTCTTCAGGTTGGAGGACCCACTTCCTATGGCTTCTGCTGTGTCTCAATAGCCCATTAAGCTAGGAAGCCATCTATTTATGGATTAATCAGAGCCCTGATGATCCAATTACCACCGCAGAGCATCTCTGGCTTGGGGAACCAAGCCTCGACACATGAGCTTTGAGAGGAGAGGGGAAAGTTGGAGACCAAAGCAAGACAGAAGGTTAGACAGTTGGGTCACGAGGGGCTTCCTTCCACCTTGTGTGGAAGTATCATAGGTCAAGAGAGTTGGGCTGGCCACAGGGCCAGGGCTTCACAGATAGACGCCCTGTCACAGGTGGCCTGTGCCCACCCAGCTCGGGGTTCCCATGATCATCTTTCTCCTTCATGAAGTTAATCATACAGTCTATGTGCCAGAGAGCCAGGCAAGATTGCAGTTGCTTACTGCCATGCTGTGTATGAGCGTTTGCGACTGCACTGGCAAGGCTCAATTCACAGAACATGAAGCAAGGTAACTGGAGGGTCCATTAGTGTGTTTGGCTTCCACCTCTCCACCAGTACCAGGGGTCCCAGGGTGGTGTGCACTGGTCTGGTCACCTCGTCAACCCTTGCGTCTGGGTTCTGGCTATGTCCTTGTGTGTGGGGTCCTTCTGAGTATTTGGTCCACCCCTTGAATGCTCAGGGCAGGACAGTCTTAAGACTCTGCCTCCCACCACTGTAATGCAGTGGTGTTTGCTATCCCCAGAGGCCTCACTGGTCTGAGGGAAATAATACGTTCCTTTGTTAATTCAGTTTGGATCACTTCCGGCCGGCGGGCCCCAAGAGGCACCTGCCATTGTAGGCCTGCTGACTGTAATGCTCGTTAACTCTCGTGCACTCTTCTGCTGGTGGGTTCTCTGCGCTGCTGCCTTTTTTGGTATTTAATGAGTCTCCATGGGTATATTCAGGGATATATGTGTCTGTGTTCCCCTCCTTATGAATTGGGCCTTTGAGGGAGCAGTGTTTTCTCAGGGTAAGGGGGTGTAGGTGGAGATGTTAAGTGTTTTGCTTTCTGTTGTACCTGGGGTTCAAGACCCCTACAAAATACAAGCTCAGATGCCAAATTCTCCTCCTTTCATGTTTGCTTTCAACCAGAGATGTCCATTCCTTTCAGGCTTCGCTCATGCATGCATCCACACTCCTGTTCCCTTACCATCTATTTATTGATGTGGTGAGACCTCCTGCTAGATGCTTGGGTGGAGACACAAGTTCACCAAGATCTGAGCCCTTGAGGAGCTCACAGGCTTGTTGAGATGTGATTTAAAATGATTAATCAATTCAAGAATATTGGATTTCTCCAAAAACTACTGTAGGGAAAAAGATAATTATCCAAAGTCTTTACATCTGTAACCCATTTTAATTGATTTAATTAGGTAAAATTCATAGAACTATATAATGTGGGAAGGAGCCCAGGAGCCATTTATTTATTCCCATTTCCTCTGTCTGCCTTCAGACCATGCTACCCTCAAATTATCCCCCAAACCCATGCATTTCAGAAAAGGCAGGATTTTGACAAATCATAGGTTTTGGCCTATTCAGATAAACTTTCAGTGTTCCACAGGGAAGGTAGATTTGTCACAAGAATTGACATACACAGCTACAGAGTATTGTTTGGAAAGACGTGAATGGCCTCATTCAACACACACACACACACACACACACACACACTCTCTCTCTCTCTCTCTCTCAATAAAACCTTCCTACGTTATAGAATTGAATTGGAACATGTACTACATGCACATGGTAAATAAACATGGAGTACAGAATGAAAATATGGCTTCAATAAGATAAAGACCCTTTGGTAGTTCTTTCAATTTCTCAAACAAACAAAGCAAATAAACCTCAGCATTGCTCAAATCCTGGGTTGCTCTAGAGCCACATCTTCTGTTCAGTTGGCACTTTTGCATCTGGCCAGGCAGCCAACCACATGGCGATCGCACCTGCTATCTACTGATCTCAAATGATCCCAAGAAGGCTATGCAATATCATGGGACATGAGAGACGTGGGGCTGGAGCTGGGGGTCCCGGGACCTATGTTCAGATGTTTACTTGCTATGTGATGATTTTGAGTCTCATTCTGCCTGCCAGTGTGATACTGGTTTTGAGGAATAATTGTGGGAATTTGATGTGTCGAGGGGGTGAATGTAGTTTTTACATTGTGCAAGCATATTGTTGCTTCGTTTTTGAAATGGAAGTCAGTCCTCATGATCACAGGTTTGTGGAGAGGCTGTCACTGAGAGGAGGCTCTGTCACGTCCAGGGTAGCAAGCATTCAGCAGTCATCTCTCCTGCTCAGAGTAGAGTTCTAGTTCTGAATAAGGCCCTGAAGCCATGCATGATGGCCTTCCTGCCAGACTCTTCGGCATTCTCTCTACATCTGGAGCCAGAAAGCTCCTGAAACAAAGGCCTTCCTGGCTCCTCTGACTGACATTACACCCACTTCCCTCCTCTCTGCAACATTCCCACAGGCCTCTCTTAATCCCCAGAAGAGGAAGTTGCTCTTCCTCAAGTTTCCCTCGGATCTGTGCAAGCAGAGACTATGGCTGTGCCTATCCGATGTATACGTTTTTTTTTCAAAGCAGTGTTGGCACATAATAAGGTGTTCAACAAATGTTTGTTGATTGAACAGATGGATATTTGCATCGTGTTTCATGCAGTCTCTGTTACATGAGATTCTTCAGTTTAAGTTATGGAAACCCTACTCATGCTGGCATTTGTGAGCATGGGAACTGAGTGACTCAGTCACCACGGGTTCAAGGTAAATGGCTTCAGACATGGCAGACTCCGGGGACTCTGAACATGTCCTTGGTAATCCATCTCTATTTACTGATGGCTATTTTGTCCCTGTTGGCTTTCTTTCCCCATCACAAGCCTTGAGGACTAGATAGATTTGTTCTGTTAGAACCATTATCGTCTCAGGGAATGGGAGCTGTAGGGGAAAATGAGACTAGCTAATGGGTGACCAATAATTACACACCTCCTTCCTGCCTTGTGTGTGGGCTCAAGAATGTTATTCTTTGTCAGTCATGGGGCTTGAACTCTGGCCTGAGCACTGTCCCTCAGCTCCTCAGCTCAAGGCTAGCGCTCTACCACTTGAGCCACAGCACCACTTCTGGTTTTCTGGTGGTTTGTTAGAGATAAGAGTTTCACGGAATTTCGTGCCTGGGCTGGCTTTGAACCACAATCCTCAGATCTCAGCCTCCTGAGTAGCTAGGATGACAGGCGTGAGCCACCCGAGCCCACCATTCAAGAATGTTTTGCAACGAGTATATAGGATCGTGCTTTCCTATCACTTCCAGGAAGGAGCGTATAGAGGTGAGTAGTTATCTACAAGCTGCCCTCTGCCTCATCCTCTGATTCTCTTTCCTTTGGGCTGTTTACAGGATCCAATGTCTACTTTCTTTCAATTTGGAGCATCCATCCAGCAGCAGGCCACCGTCATGCTGAAAATCATGCAGGATTATGACTGGCATGTCTTCTCCTTGGTGACCACCATCTTCCCTGGCTACAGGGACTTCATCGGCTTTGTCAAGACCACGGTGGACAACAGCTTTGTGGGTTGGGACATGCAGAACGTCATCACCCTGGATACCTCCTTCGAGGACGCCAAGACACAAGTCCAGCTGAAGAAGATCCACTCTTCCGTCATCTTGCTTTACTGTTCCAAAGACGAAGCTGTCCTCATCCTGAGTGAGGCTCGCTCCCTTGGCCTCACTGGATACGAGTTCTTCTGGATTGTTCCCAGCTTGGTGTCCGGGAACACAGAACTCATTCCCAAAGAGTTTCCATCAGGACTCATTTCTGTCTCCTATGACGACTGGGACTACAGCCTGGAGTCCAGAGTGAGGGATGGGCTTGGCATCCTCACCACGGCCGCATCTTCCATGTTGGAGAAGTTCTCCTACATCCCCGAGGCCAAGGCCAGCTGCTATGGGCAGACAGAGAAGCCGGAGACCCCGCTCCACACTTTGCACCAGTAAGAAAGGCCTCTTTGCTTGTCTCTCAGAGGGGGATTAGAGTTACGTTGCTAGTATGGTTTGATTATGTACTCATTGACAGAAGTAGTAGCATTGTGAGTGTACTTATAGGATTTTTATTGTTTGATTTTTGCCCTCATTTCTATTTTCCTCTCTTCTAATCTCACTTTTTTTTAAAAAAAAAGGTAAGTAACATTTGAATTGTTTAGGGCTACTTATTTTCACTCAATAGTGTATCTTGGAAACCCTCACTTGGGATTCATTTATCTTTCCATCCACCTACCCACCCATCATCCACCTATCTATTCATCTATGTACTCATCTATCCACCAACCATTTGTCTATTTAGCCATCCATCTAGAAATCCATTATTCTACTATTTATCCATCCATCTACCTATCCATCATCCACCTATCAATTCATCTATTTATCTGTCCAGCAAACATTTGTCTATGTATCCATCCATTGATCCATTCTTCTGCCATCTATCTATCCATCTATCCACCCATCCATCATCTATCTATCTATTATTCATCTGTCCACCAAACATTTGTCTATCTGTCCATCTAGTGATCCATTCTTCTATCATCTGTCTATCCACCCACCCACCATCTACCTGTCTATTCGTCTGTGTATCTATCCATCAATCATTTATTTGTCTGTTCATCCATCTTTCCATCATCTATCTACCCATCTATCACCTGTCCATCCATCTATCCATCATCTAGCTATATAACAAATGTAGTCTTTTGAAATATATGTTATATTCTTTGATAATGGTTTACTTGCATAAGAATAGAAATCTATGTTTTTCAGACTTTGTCCCATTAGATGCCAAATGGCAGTGATAATCATCAGATGTATCTGTTTATGCACAGGTACAATGTAGTTTTTCTAAGGTTGATTCCACGGAGTAAGATTTAATGATTATAAGGCATGTGCATTCTTAATTGAGGTATCCATTGCCCCACTGTGCTACAAAATACAACAGTTTATGAAACTATCAGGCCTTTCACGACCTCAGCAGTGTGGCATGCTTTGGGAAAATGGCCCAGGTAGACAGTTCTGGTCTCTGACTTTGTGTCTGAATTTCTTCTTTTAAATTCTAAATACTTTTGAAGGTTTTAAGAACTCTTGGCAAATGCCACTCTTACAATCATGCTTTAAACATCATGTGGATGTATCATCATTTACATAACTGCCCCCATTATAGTGGACATGTACCTTAAACTGTTTCTGGAAAACGTCCTTGTTCCCTGAGCTCATCATGGCTCACCTCCTAAGATTTCGAATGATAACCCAGGCCCTCATTTTGCATGGTTTTGCTAGATGTTTGCTGGCTTACTGCATACTTCATTACTTAGATTTTAACAGTGTGGCTCTGTGATTAAGGACCGGGCTTGGAGTTGGGCTTGTACAAGTCAAATTCTATCTTGTCCATTTTCTCTAGGACTCAGAAAATCACTTCACTGTTCTGGGCCCAAGGCATTAATGAGAAGTGTCATTAACAGCTCCTAAGTTCTAGGTGTTCATCCTCAGACTTTAGCAGGCACCATAGTCTCTAGGAGGCTTATTAAGACAGATTGCTGGGGCACACTCAGAGTTTCTAGTATAGTAATAGGTCTTGAGTGAACTCTAAGAATGTTCAATTCCAGCAAGTTCCTTGGTAACATGGATGTTGCTGACCTAGGAAGGGTGCTTTGAGAGCCAACACTGTAGGGATTGCCATGAATGGTAGCTGAAGAACTGCACAAAATGTGCCTCTTAGCACAGTGCCCACCATCTGCTGATTATCTGATGACTTTCGAGTGATTAGTGAAATCTTTCATCACCAGAAATTAGCCAACAGACTATTGATTGGTTGCCTGTAGAATACTAAGTCACTCGAAACATCTCTGGATGGTTCTAGAAGTTTGAATGTGCTACATTTCAGACGTTACCTCTGAACTTTTGGGGTGTGTGTATGTGTGTGTGTGTGTGTGTGTGTGTGTCTGTCTGTCTATCTGTCTGTCTGTCTGTCTGTGTTATGTGTGTGGGGAAAATAGATTATGCTTCTTTATAATTAACATGTACCTGATAAATTAACTCTTGAATGAAGAAGTCATAGTCCTTTGACATTTTCCCATCTCCCATCGTTTTCCCCTTCCTCTTTAAAGATTCCTGTTTCTACGCTGCCATTTCAAGAATCCTAAATAATTTCCCACATATCAGGAAGGAGCTCTGAGAATTCCGTATGTGACACGGGAACCTCTTAAAAAGGCAGGCTTGCTGCCAGCCCAAAGACAAGGGCTGGGCTGATGAACTCGTACTCCCTTAATAAGCTGTGCCCTGCAGCTAGAAGAGTCAGAAGCATGGAACTTTGACAGGAACATAACTCAATTGTAGGGCAATCGAAATGCAATATATACGGGGAAAGGAATTTGAGAGGGGTGATTGGCAAGACATTCAGATGCCTTTCCAGGGACCATCTTGGATTCTGTTCTGTAAGAAAAGAATCCCACAGCTGGGAAATGCTGTTGGGCTATTTGCAGGAGTTATACCTTTGAATGCAGCAGTTCTGAAAATGGCATTTCAGCCCCAGAGAAACAGTGCATCTGCAGTGGTGAGTTAGCATGGAGGGCTTGGCATTGAATGAAACATCTCTCGATCCACAGAGGGCTGGTGGCGCTCACTCTGGGAATGGGGTGGGAAGGTGGCTCGTGGTGACTAGGGCTAGCTGTCCTCATTACGTTCCTCCATAGAATATTCCTCACACCCACCCAGGAAACAGTGGAACTCTGGCAGGGAGTGGAAAAAAAACCATAGAACACCATTAGAAAGACTTCAGTGGACTGTATCCTCCTACTGCCAGTCTGTCTTTTGGACTACCCCATGAGCCTCTGTGGGCCCCTGGAATGTATAGTTGAATTAACATGTAACTTATGTCCTCCAAGACCAATACAGGCTGATGAAGAAGAGGGAAATTTGTCTGAAGACAAATTCAGGTTACAACCTTTTTTTTTTTTTGGTCAATATAGTATTGAAAAAGATAGGAGTAAGGAACCCGATAAAACGCCCAATCTGATACTCACCCCTGAGAATAAATGTTGACATGTCCATTGGGTTTAATGTTTTATAAGAAACAAAACATGAGTGGCGGTGTGGGAATCTTGAGTTCACCTACTAAAATTTCCTTCTGTCTCAATCAGACCACGGTCATCTCAATTGCATTTCTCATTCTATTGTAGATGTCGCTTTTTTTAAAAAATCTAATCACCCCCTTTGATGGACATGTAGGTTGTTGCTAGGAAAGCATCTTCAGTTTGGAGCATCTAAAAGCAAAGAAAAGACACCTGCATACTGAATTGGCACGCTGTTCAGTGGCACCCCAGCACTCTTGAGATGGGAGTTTCTCATTTCACACTTAGAAAGAAATTACATTGTGGCCAGATAATAAGTTCTACTTCACAAAATAGCTGGTAAACAAGTAGCTCTTGTTCCTTCACTTTGGTAGTAAGGAGGATACAAACAGCTTCGAACAAATGCACACCCAGTAGTCTCCTGATGAGTTGAAGGGACCTGAGGCCCAGCTTTGACTGTCCGAGAACAACTTTGGGCTAACCAGACGTGCCCAGGGGCCCTCCAGGACTTGGCTTATAATCATATACACCGAGTTCCTGCAGTTAGAATATTGTAGCAATGACTTCTCGCTCATGGCTCTGGGTGAAGTGCAGGAGTCTCCAGTGAGAGATGGTCAGTCCATATTTGTACCTTGGATCTGTTTCTGCCTCTGGCGGTTTAATGGGGGCGGGGAGAAGTAGGGGAAAGGGAGAAATTTTCTTTATGTTTAATATTCCTGGTTTTCCAGAAGACACTTTGAAAAGAGCAGTCAGCATTTTTCCAGAGTTCAAAAATAGCTCAGCCTTGTTACATAACCTCCTCTTTGCTACTGTGAAGTTATTAAACATCTGTTCCCTTGCCAAACCCAGAGCACATCACGGGCAACTCCCAGAACGGTGGAGGTAAATGACAGTGCGTCTGGCTGGTGTGGATGCTAGTATGTCTGTCAGTTTTGTACTGAGGATCTGTCCCATCCACCGGGGTGGGGGGTGGGGGGTCGGGGGAGGAACTGTGGGAGGCAGCCTGGCTTCATAAGAGTATAGCTTCCAGGACTAGGCTGCCTGAGTTGAAGTCTCTCATTTGCATATTTCCAGAGCTGAACTTTGGGCCAGTCTCTCAGCTCTCCCAAGTTAACTCTGTCAGGTGTCACGTGGGGAGAAGAAAAGCATAGGGCTCTCAGGCTAGTGCCTGGCACGTGGAGAGGCAGCTTTTTATGTGTGTTACTCTGGTAAACTGAGCACCCTAAGTCAGAAAATACAAAATATAAAAGTGCTGCAAGGTCTAAAGCTTTTTGAGTGCTGGCATAGCGCTACAGGTGGAATCTTGCACTCTGGACCTGCTGCGACAGGTCTCAATCAAAACACAGGTGCACCAAAAATATTCTGTGAAATCATCCTCAGGCAATGGGTGTCAGGTATGTTTGAGATGTAGGTGACTTTGGTGTTTGTCCCATTCTTGAAATATCTCATCAAATCTGTGCAAATCTTCCCAAGGTAATAATAATGATGATAATAATAATAATAGGTTTTTTAAAAGAAACAAACCAACTCAGATCTTGATCTTGAATATGTCTCCTCCCAAGCATTTTGCATAGGAAATACTCAACCTATCTTGATGAATCTCTGAATCTTGCAGATATATAATTGTGAGAGAAGCAAGGCAGCCATAGGCCATGCCAGTATCATTCGCTCATGCTTCAAAACAAGGGACAGTGGGACATCCCCGGGCAGAGCCCAGATGACCAGGGATGGAGAGTCATAGATGCATCAATAGGGAGAGCACTGCAGCTTGAGGGAAGGAGGGATCTGGAGGATTCAGCGCTCCATGGAGAGTTACCAGGTTTCTTCTCAATAGTTTCTTTTTTTAATTCTTTCCCTTGATGCATCAGAACCTGTGCTGG